TAAAAAGAGGTTGGGGAAATGTTTTAGAGTCGAATCCTAGGCAGGATTTCTGGGCTAACGTCGTTATTTAGAGGCGCAGAAGAAGAGCTGTTGACTATCTGTGCACTATCGAACATGGCGAATAGCTTTGAGACCGTTTTACTGTGTGCTCGGCCTTGCCAGGTGTTGAACACGTGGGCCCGGAGCCAGCAGAACGCTCCAGCCTGTGATCAACTTTAAATCTGGAGCCATTTTCCAAAAAAAATCGACTAAACAGATCGTTAGCGTCACTGCTCAGGTGACTGATGTTTATTTGTTATGCGTTTTTTTTAGATTTTTAATCAATCATATCCATTCCTTTGAAATGTGGTGGGAAATTAGGGGGGGCACCAGCCAGTAGCCATTGAGATTCAAAACACCGAGTTATAGAATTCTTAACACACAAACTGCCGACAGCGCATGCCAAAACGTACCGAGGAACGGTCCTTCGATCAGACTAACAGGTTCTCAGGCAGCACTTTCCCCAGCTGTACATTTGGACTGTTATTGATGGAAATCACAGTTTGTGTGTGCGCGATGAAATCAACATTTACTGACAAAAATCGAATCCTTCCCGGCCTATCAATATTATATGTCATTAAAGCCCCTCCCTGCTAAAACAACACAGATGTTTCCATGGATACAGTAACTACGATCTCCTTTGTTTGGTTTATTTAGTGAAGCAGTTTGAACAGGAGACACATTTGTCTGTACCCTGGAAGCCCATCTTTGTGTAAAGGGCTAGACAGACCAAACCTCTTCTACTTTACAAATGGGCCGTATGCCAGCGATGCACAGCACAGGCTTGGCCAAGGCAGCTCGGAAACCTCCAAGTAAAGCGAAGAGTGAAACTCGAGAGAAGAGTTGTCAAGTCTGTAAATGACTCAGCTTTGACTTTGAAGAGGAAGATGCCTCCCCTCTCCTGTGCTCTCTGGCTGTTTTATACTCTTCAGAGGTAGTGTGTGTGTGTGTGTGTGTGTCTTGCACACACACGAGGTTTGTCCGGGTGCATCAGGAGTTTGGGCTCTGGGCCTCAGCCCTTAGAATTTCTTTCCTAATTCCAGGCTGCTTTTTCGGATTACGAGATAAACACCTAATCCTGTAAGAGGATTTCAGCCAGAGCAGAGACACCGAGCGACTTGGCATGGCCCAAATAATGCCAGGTTAGGGTGTGCAATAGCCACTCCAGGGCACTCAGAAGTTAAACAATTACCAAAGCCAGTGGCTCCGTCTCGGCATGATGCTCACACACTGGGCTAGCAGCGTGGAGGAGACCCCAGCTAAAGGGCCATGTCACCAACTCAGCAGCAGCTAGGCCTGGCCAGAGCTTTGATATTCAGATGGGGCTAGATCCCGCAGCGTGATCCCCCTTTGCTGTGGCAGAGGCTGGGACAAGCACGGCTTCGGGGTGACAAACAGGTCTGACACGGCTGCTGAGATTTATTTTCCCTAAAATTGTGACTATTTCCCCCATATATTAGCACATTTATTCCGTTTTTTAAAAACTATTTTTGTATGTTTTAAACAGCAACACCCCCCCCCAGCGCCCCAGGAATACGGGGTCGTGCGGACGTGGCATGTTGTACGTGCCGAAGGGACACGGTCAGCAGTGGGGACTCGAAAGAATGCTCCCCGGAGCCGAGTGCTGGGCCGGGACACCCCAGTCTGCTGTCAGGGAAACAGCCGCAGGCCCCTGATGCAGCACTCTGACTACAGCTGGGCAGAGTTTTTTTAATTTGCCAAAAAGAGGCAGTTTTGAGGCAACAAAAGCATTTGCGAAGTTGGGGCGAATTCAGCAAATTGTTCTGACTTTTTTCCAGAATTTTTGTCCTCCCTTTCTATTGGGTCAAAACTGATTGTTTCAACATTTCCAACACAAACCGTTTCAACATTTTGTTTAGAAAAAAGCGTTTGTTTAACCCCAATGAAATCTTTTCAGTTTTTCGTTTAGACATGAAAAAAAATTATTAAAAAAAACCAATCAGGGTTTAGCTTTGATTTTTTTCTGGATGTTTTTGGTTCAGCCACCAAACTAAAAAAAAAAAATCACCTATTTGTTCATCCCTAATTCTCGCCTCTCTACAGACCCTAGGAGGAAGCGAACACGAACCAGAGAAGGACTTACTAATCTTCAGAGACACCTGTGTGTTGGAGAAGGGGAGTAAGTGTGGTGGAAAACACGACGGCTGAGTAAAGCACACGCCCAACCCATGTGAAGTTCAGACCCAGGCCTGGATTGGAGCCGTGGGCTTGGGCTTCTCTCTAGATTGCAATTTTTATACTTGGCCCATGTGCGCAATGCCCCTGGGCCAACCCCAACCCTCCTCAATGAAAAGCAGGGGCCTGTTGCCGGATTACTGTTCCATTGGGAAAGGCAATTCTAGACACAAAAGCCAGGGGTTGGGCATTCCAGGCAGCTGAGCTGAATATCCACAGACCCTTTATCACAGGACCGAGCCTCTCGACTCTTGCCCCCTTCCCTGGGAGCACCCAGCTGTGCCCCCAGCCAGCCTCGGAGAACGCGTAAGACTCGGGGGGCGGGGGGGAAGAATTTGTACCGATCTTGTGAAAGAGCTCAGGGAGTTGCACCTCCACCTTCTCCCTCTGGAACATGTGGTACTCGGCTTGCTCACAAATCGGCGGGATTAGGTTAAACTGCCGTGCCACTGAGTAAGCTTCCTGCAAGCACAAAGATAAATGCAAATCAGCATCATCCCCCAGCCGGGCGAGTCCTCCAGGTCGTCCCCACGGCACTGGGGCTGGGACTTCCGGCGACCCCGCCTGGCTGGTGAAAGGGTGTAAAACCCAGGGACATGGAGAGAGTGGCCATTGCAGAAACAGAACTAATTTGTTCCTGTGGCTGACGGGGACCCAAGGCCTTGCCAAACAAGCAGGGACTGGAGGGCCCAGTCCTATGGGAGATTCGCCCATTGGGGACTTTGCCTTTGACTTTAAAGGGCACGAGCCAGGCTCTGGGGTCTCTGACTCCAAATGTGGTGCCCACACTGAGCCCGAGAGGTCTGTATGTGTGGAGCGTTCCGGCGCTCTGCTGCTGGGCGTGTGCTGACACGTGCTTTAATGCCAGCGTAGCCACCACACGACCTGTCAACATTCAGCTGGAAGGGGCTCGAAAAGGCCCAGATTGGCCCCCAGGGCTCCTGAGATGCTGCCTTGGAGACAGAACTTTGTGTCAGCCCCCATGTCTCTAACTGTATGTTACCAGGGAGACGGTCACATTGAGAGGCAAAGGCGACTGGCTGGAGAATCTCAAGTCAAAGGATTTAGCTAGAAATCATGTTAATTCACCCAAAAGTTGGAGCAGATTGAGCCAGCAGACCACACGGAGCAGGGAAGTGCCAGAGGGGGACATCTCTCACTGAAGCGGCTCAAACCAGTGATGTGTGTGTGGGAACTGGGGACTCCTGTGACAGCAACGACAGGGATACCCTGCTCAGGTGTCCTCCTCGCTGACCCCAACAACTGCACCTGCAGAAGCTGTTACTGTGGTGCCTCTGAGTTTACCTCCTTTCCCGGCCAGGGAACCCTTTCCCCCTACGGCACGAGCCTGACACACTCCGATGAGTCGTCCTATCAGATCTAAAAATAATTACGGCTAAAATACATCTGCAAGCAGTCGGCTCCTGACAGCTCCTGTCTAATTAAATCACCATCAACACAGCACTTCCCTCCCAAAACGCCATAGAGAGGCACTTTGCGCTGGCGACTGCAGTCTGCTCGGCCTCTGCTCAGCATCAGCAGTGCACAGTTCATTTATTTATGGCATGTCTTCTGGCACTTGCATTTCAGCAATGGGAACGCACGGGCATGCGTGCGCCCAACATACACAGACACAGACACACACAGTACCATGATCTCCATGGAGCTCCAGCGCGACGTTCCCCAGTACATGGCCATTCCCTGGTTGATAACATGGGTCATTGCTCTCACCGTCTCTGTTAAAAAGGAAGGGAAGGCAAGGAGGGAGACATGTCAGCCTGGCATGCAGGGCTGGGGCTATTCAGTAAATAAAGGCTATGACACCAAAAGGAAAGGGGGGCTTTGACTGCACAGACATCTTGCAAGCAGTGTACTTCCAGACTTCAAACTTGGAGACAGGAGTTTTACAAGGAAATTAAAAAACAAAACGAACGAACAAAAACCAAAAAGCAACCCCCCCAAGAGAGACTGCTCATGAAATCATTTCCCCATATTTATTACTTGTCCAAATCTCTAAAGAATAATCAAATGCAAAAATAAACAAACAAACCAACAACCGCCAGAGATGGGGTTGGAAAGTGACCTTTTTTATGGGTGCTTGTGCTGAAATGAGGGTGTGAAGAAACAGAGGAAAGTAAATTATGATGCCATAAGAACTGAGCTTTGTTTAGTTAGTTGCTTTTTGGAGAATGATAGAATTAGCCTAGAGGAAAATAACCATTTGCAATGGACCAGCGAAACGTAATGAGGTCACAATCAAACAGGTGAAATGCAGTACACAGAGTGGTGGAAAACAATGTCCAACTTCACGGATGTTCACACTCTCCTGTGAGATGGGGATGGACAGGAGCCACAGGATATATTGCACCCATGTGTGGGGAAAAAAATAGCATCTTCAAGGTCCTACAAAAAACAGACCTGAAGAATGGGTTTTCCATCTAAACAGAGGAAAACCAGATCAAATCCACCAGGATGGAAGAGCTGTCACAGGAGGGGAGACATTAAGAAAACCACAACAAAAACAGTAGGAACATTTCTGGGAGACCAATTTCTTTGTGGAGCAGGGCTAGACTCCTTGTGTGTGGGGGTGGGAGGGGGATAGTTTGGAAGAGGGGTCTGGAAACAGCCCAATGTTTGTGCAATTCCCAGCACCTTCCAATTTTGCTTCTGGGCATCATTGCTCTGCTGAACTGAGAGTTATGAACCCAACTCCCAGGTCCGTTCAGAAGTCCCTGTGCAGTGACAGACGAGCTCAAACGCTACCCCCGAGCAGCTGGAATCAGCAGATTTCAGAGACTGAGGAATACAGGACGAGCTGGGACTGCTGGATGTTAAGGATGGTTAAAACACCCTCATCTCCAGCTTTGCCCTTATAGCTTAGCTGCTGTGAACTTCAGAGATTACTAGCGCTAAGAAAAATTCATCATTAGAAAACATCCATTAGCTATGAAAAACCTAGAGGGCAAATTCTGTCTTTAAAAAGACTTATGCAAAGCAAATATTGCAGCTGATTGTAGGAACCCATTAAGTTAGTTTGGCCTCATGGTTAATATTGCATCTAAAAACAGCTAAGGTTCAGATTTTTCTTTTTTGAGGGTTGCCACTGTGATGGTTGGTCGGCCGTCCCTGTCTTTTCCAAAGTGCTGAATGTATGTAGTGGATCCAGCCGGGGATGTCTAGAAAAGGCAGCTATAAGAATACATTGCTTGCAAGGTTGGTTGCAAATGTTGCGGTATAAAGGAAAGATTGCAAACAAGTGTTTCTAAAAACAATCCATTGACGGCCTGAAAAAATAAACCCGATAATAATATCTAATTCAATGTGATTATACACACGCACACACACTCACTCAGACAAAAGACAAGTGTGTATGTATCCCAGTCTTCTGTCTGGTTGAAGGTGGGAAGCAGACAATGCTATGTGTTTGTCTAAGTGCAACGCTAAACATGCTGGAACCTAAAAAAAAAAAGAGACCAAGACTGAAACCTGAGGCTCCTTAGTTGACACTGGCCCAAATGTTTTAAACTGCTACTGATTTCGGGTGCTTTGAGGCAGTTAGGGCCCGATTTTCAGAGGCACAGAGCGCCGGCAGCTGCCCATATTCAGCTCCTGGGATAATCAGCGCTGGTATCTCCAGCTGGGACAACCGAAAACTCAACCGGCAGCTTCTGAACTGGTGCGAAGATGCTTTGTCCTTTATTAGACTTGGAGTCGCACTGTTCAGCACAGTTCAACCGCCCCGTTGGTGACACTGACCCTCAGCATCGGGTAGTGTAAAAACAAGCTTGAGAAAGCAGCAGAGAGTTGGAACATGCAGTTCCCTGGCCTGGTCTCCACAACCCCCAGGGGCTGCAGCCTGCAGATTGCAAACTTCTCCTTGGACCACAAGACACAATCCTTCCAAAGATGCTAATTATGTTTGCAAAGTCACAAAGGGGGCGCAGCTTCGTTAGGTGGTGGCTTCGTTAAGCTATGTTAGTAGCTGCCGCCCAAGAGAGCTCGGCAGCGAGTTCTCTGTTCATGGTAACACCCAACTAGCCGTTATCGCAGAGTCAGCCCTGTGCTGCTCTAAATGTCTCTCTCGTTTCCTCACAGCTGCTTTAGGAAGCGCCGCTTAACAGGTTTAAAATAGTGAAATCAGAGAGAATATTTTTCAGTCTCCAAAAACCTCATTTCTGGGCTGAGACCCAACGTGGAAGGTTTCAGCTCCGAGGAAGGGATCGTTAGGAAATTCTGAGCATACAGAAGCAGGAGGATGAGGAAAGTCCAAATGTCAAGAGCTCTATAGCTTGGACTTTCATGAAGGGAGACTCAGATTAGCAACCAAAAGCAAACAATTCCTGGAAAGGCCATGTAAACGCCTTGATCTGGCAGGAGTGTGCTAGGCAGGTCAGCGGTCTGGGGCAAACCCTGCTCCTGCCTCCCAGTCGACGTAGCTGGAGTCTCCATCGGGGCAAGCGCAGAGGAACCCTCCTACGCCAAGACACAGGGGATGAACACTTGACCTTACTGAAGTCAAGGGGAGTTTTGCCATTAACTTTGATGGGGCCAGGATTTCACCCAGTCTCTGCAGCGCGCGCACACACACACACACACACACACACACACACACACTGCAGAGTAACAAATGCAAATAACAACCCTTGTTCTCCTTTCTCCACAACCTTCCCCTTGGTCTCTTGTCTGAATGTAGGCAAATAGAAGATGAGGTCTCTCCCCCAGTCTAAGCCGCCCTGCACATTCATGGTACTGCATTAGCAAAAACTGCCATCCCCCTAATTTTGTTTCTCTGAGCTTACATTAAACCAAGGCAAGAGGTGCCAGAGAGTCTGAGACTCAATCTGCCAGTTAACATGGGAATTTATTGCTTAACTTCTAGGTGTCGGTCAAACTGCTGCTGCCCCGTTCTGTCGCTGCCTTTTCTTTTCTTTTTTTAGAAACACTGTCAGGAGTCCCTGTCCAGGCTCTCCAGCCAAGTCTGAACCATGCAGGCTGAGTTTGAAGCCAAGGCATAAACTCATGCCAAGGAAAGAAGCAAAAAGAAAAAGTCACACCAGGCTTCACATGGCCATCACATGCACTGACAGAGTGTGACAGTTTAGCTAAGCGCTGGGCTTGTGCAAACGAAAGTTTTCCATAGAAATAAAATCTGGCAGGTCGGTAGTACATCTTGCACAAGATCACAAAGCATGACAAGGAGGAAGACCAGCCCATCACAAGCAGCGAGAGCAATGACTGTCAGAGCTGGGCAAAATGGGCATTTCTTACGTCACTGGAATCGGCTCAGCAGGTTGCATACAGCTGGTGTCACATTTGGTCATTAGCTGTATTCCAGTTGCCCCTTTAATTTAAAAAATCCCATTGGCACGGAGACTGGAGCCTTATTTTCCCAAGTTCCAGACACTAATGCTTGAATAACCATATTAAAAATGTACCGCAAGTGAACTGCACCAGGCGTTCAGTTCAATAATGAACAGGAGGAAGAAGACAGAATGCTTTGTACCTACTGTACATATTCATAGCTGGGGCTGTAAAAAGTTAGACTGGCTAGATATATAACCAGCCAATTATTAGCCTTTTGGTCCCAACCTAGTGCTGGTAAAGGGATGCACCCCAGTGGTAGCAGCTCCCCGTGGGAATCTGACTCTGAACAGGGCTGAAAACTCTGCCCCGTTATTTTAATGTAGTCAAAATTTGCCACCACAGGGAGCGCAGTTACACAGAATTTTGCCCAACCCTCGTACATACTCATTAAAAAAAAAAAATCCAACCACATTCCTTATGCAAGACCAGGCACATTAAAAGGGGTGAAGAAATCAGCATAATATATTTCAGTAACTGACTAGACTAACAACTTTGGTAGCCAATTCATTCAACTTACCAGACAACTGTATTTTCTGATGCTAATGTAAACTTCAAAGGCCGTGGTGTGGGTTGAGTGCTGATAAGTGGACAGTCTTGTGGACTTTAAGACTTCTAGGTGAGGAACACCACAACCTGCTTGTTCTCCCCTGGACTACTGATTTGTTCACCCTGATCCCTGAACTGCTCTCCCCCAAGATCACAAGCATGTTAGGAACAGGTACCATGTTATTTTAATGAACTAACAAATTAGGCTTTAATGCAGAATTTCAAACTGAGGGGACCTCCTGTCATACAGACAAGCATAGCAGAAAATGGCATGTCATGCACTGAACAAAGGAAAGGAACAAAAGAATGAAGTGACATGAATCGAGGGAAGAGAAGAACTAATCACTATATTGCTTTTTTCTTTTTACTTGCAAGATGTTCTCAAAGGCAAGGGTTTTTTTTTGTTTGTTTTCCTTTGTGCATTTTATGGAGAAGTTTGCCACGGGGAAAAGGAAGTCGTGTAAATAAAAATACAGAGTCTGTCCCATAAAATGCTGTTTGGACACAGAAGTCAATATTCGGACTGCGGGTACGATGTACCTTCTATGATGAATGTTCTTGACTTGGAAGAACTAAATGGGTCCCCTGGTGATAAAAGAAAGATTTAAAGAGACCAGAGTTTACAACTGCTGGCATATTACAACGAACGGCATGACAAAAGGGTCTGGAGGAAGAATAGCCCCCTATCAAAGCACCATTAACACAGTCTGTTCCAGAAGCAGAGCGCATCCCGAGAAGGCCCCGTCACATGGGGATGGAGAGGGATTGAGGTTGCAAAAGATTTTTGGTTGGTTTGTTTACATATGCTGAACGTATTAACACATGAAACAATTGCTACATAATGGAAAACACACTGCAACTAAAAACCCGTCACCAAAATCATGATCAAAACATCAAAAAATAAAATGCAATGAAAAATTCAGACCTGATTTGACTAATAAGATGTTAAACTAACAAGGAATGGGTGAGTATGTAATCCAGAAATGGGACAGGCCATGAAATGAGAAAAGTTAGATCTGTTGCAGAGGTACAAACTGCTAGCAAAGCAGCTTGAGAAAATTATTATAATGATCGTAACCGTATTGCTGAATTGTATTATCCTAGAACCTAGGAGCACCAGTCATGGACCTGGGCTCTGTCGTGCTTGGCAAACACGGAACGAAAAGGGAGATAACGCAGAGAGAAGCATGTACTTCCAAGAGTCCCAGTTCAGCCTGCAGCACAAACCCCAAAGGGACAAGGACAGCATCTCATTCAGGCCTGGGACACCTAAGCATAAGAGTTTCCCCATGACACCAAGCAAGGGGACCGTCCCCTGAGAAGTCCTTTGACTGGTGCCTCTCTATTACACTTTGCTGGGGGAGAGAAAGAGGCTATTCTGAAAATGATTTGGCGGCCCACGGCTAGCGCTCCTACTCCCTAGTGCTATTCTCTTTAGAAGTCACTCCCTACTTCCGGACGCAAATGGCGAGACCGCGACTAATCCATCAATCTCAGCTGCCTGCTGACCAGTACCCGGAACAGAAACAGGCTGATAGGGAGAAGCTGGCGGTAGAACCTACCTTCCATGGGTGTGTTGGGATCTGGTCTGTTAGCAAACACGACATCCACGTACTCTAACTGCAGCCGTTCTAAGGAAGCCTTCAGACCTGGTGATGAGCAAACAAGGACAAAAGGCCATCAAGCACATTTCCCCTCTGAGCACCCTGCTTCGTTACCGCCGAGCACTTTGCAAACACAGGCTCGGAAGAGCTGCACTAACGCTCTGGAGATGGTGCCGAGGCCTGGCGATCACAGCTTTGCTGAGGCTGTCCCAGAGGGTTAAGAGCACCACGACCCACATCTGCGCTAGAGGGCTGTGCTGTGCCCCAGGCTCTGTGGAGAGCCCCAGCTTTCACAAGGGCTGGATGAAAACCATCTCGGGGAGAGCTGCAGCACTGGTGACGCTAAAACGTATCCAACCGCTGCCCAACGGGGGCCAGTGGCCAGGCAATTTGAAGGACACTTATAATGACTCTCAGGGAAATATTCAGCTCATTATTAACAATAACCACCAGCACGTGCCTCTCCCCCACCCTACTCCTTCTGCCAAGCCAGGAGGTTGGTGTCTGCAAGGCACTCGGCAGTGCCATTAACACCATCTCGGCAGGACAGCGCACCCACAGCTTCCTGGGCAGGTGTGTGACAGCCGCTGGGACACGGCAAAGCAGCTGCTGAAGCAGACCAAGGATGGGCTCAGCTGGAGCCCTGTCCAAGAGCGTTGGTTCCTTCTCCTGAATGGGAACGCCCCAGGTCCCAGTTCCCGCAGACTCTCCCACTATAATATACAGGAGCAGCAGATCGGCCCCGATCCAGCAAAGCACATGGTTAAGCATGTGAGTAGTTCCATTCAGTTAAATGGGGATACTCATGTGCATAAAGTTAAGCACATGCTCAAGTGCCTTGAAGGGTCAGGATCATGTACGGCATTAAAGCAGATGTGCTCTCGCTCACCTTCTATGATGTGTTTTCTGGAGAGTCCCCTCTCAGTCTCTGCTCTGAAAAACAACAGGCCCAGGTTAGCAGTGTCCAGTACAACTAGGACAATTACGGCGGTGGTGAAATTAGCCAGTATTACTTACTTTCCTCCCCAGAAGATTTTGGTTGTGATGACCAGGCTAGAGCGCCTGCGAAGAGAAACAGAGTCACTACATAAAATGTACCAAGCCAAGGTTCCCTTCCGCCCTCTGTGCTCGTCTGGGTGCCCATCCCAACACTTACCACCCCAAGGTGAGGCTTGCCCGCAGCTTCCAGTTATGCAAATACCCACGGTATTTCCCAACTCATTGGTCTGCGAGAGGCAAGTGATTTAGCACCAAGCACTGCGGGGGCACAACCAGGATAATTCTATTAACTTCAGCGTGGAGTTACTGCTGATTTACCCCGGGGTAAGTAAGGTTAGTGATCTGCTCGGCTGTTTGATCAGAAGCCTTCACTGGCACAGATCAGGGGTGTTAACCCCAGGATCATCCAAGGTGAGGAGGGTCCTAGAGATAAGTCTTTGAGTGAGATTGTCAAGAGTGCGATCGGTGTCTGAAAATCACTGAGGCACCTGGGAAAGTCCCAGCTTTGGGTCTGGCCCTGTAGCCCAAAGTCACTTTGCTTCAGGGCCATCCAGCAGACTATAGCATGGCGACTACTAGGAGAAACTGCTATCAGCTCCAACTACTGTGAACTTACTGAAACAGCTGCTACGGTCCCGGAGCCTACTCCAGACTGAAGAGGGCTGTTTGATTTAAGAGTCCAAACATTTTTGTTCAGGCACGCAAATAACGACTTTTCAGCCGTGTCCATGACCACTAAAACCAGACTATATACAACACTCATTGTGCCCATGTTACGCTACGGTTGTGAAACATGGGTACCGAAAACATCCAGAACCAAAGCTGCCAACTCTGGAAGTGAGGCGTCTGCGCCACATCCTAGGCGTGACAAGGCTGGACAGACGAAGAAATGACGACGTCCGTAGAAGACTGAAAGTGCAGTGTGTGACTGCAATCATCAAAGGGCTCCAGCCACAGTGGGTTGGCCATGTTGCTAATATGACCGCACAAGACTGTTCTTTATGGGGAATGCCTGGTGAGAGCGGCCAGGAACGGTCCCGGAGACAGTGGTGAAACAGGGCATACAAAACTATGCAGGCAACACCCCAACAGGCACAAATGGCATCTCAAAGCAGACATGGACCAATTTGCTCAGGACCTGGGTGCTGGAAAAAGAAGAGGATGATGTGCCAAAGATCGCCTCCTAGCGCTGACAGGAGAGCTCCTTGTGGGATTTGTTAATAAGTCAATTACCTTTAATTACTGGGAGCTGCAGTCACATGGTAATTAATGCAAAGAAACAATCTCGGGGGAACAAAATGACAAGTATAAATAATTGAGTGGGAAAAATGTACCCAATAACCACTGACTGGGATGATAATTGTGGCATTCGGGAGGGAAGGATTTACAGACTTTCTGACAATCCTACTATGATTAATGATTCATGCCCAACTGCAGTGAGCTGGTATTTGAAATTGCTCTTCCTTGTGGCTTTTACAATTTGAGATCATTACGAACACCTCCCTGAAGAAACGCCACTCTGCTCTGACCCAGCCGGGACAGGGGAGAGGCGTCAGGCTGTGATGGACTGACGAGCCCTGGCCATCTCCATCAGGAAAAGGAATGGAGATTTACCAGGGGAAACACTGAGATTAAGAGACCTGTGTCTGCCATGCACCTTGGGCCCCAGAGCTACCAGAAGACTGAACGCCAGCCATAAAGAATGGCGTTATTATTTCATGCCGATACAACCACCTAGAAGGCAGAAACTCCCTTCATTCACAGGAACAAGTCCAGGACAGGCAGCAGCAGTAAGAGATTCCCCTACCCTGCCCCACTCCAACCCTGGAGCGATCACTGCGAGGGACCAGAGAGGGGATTTCAGACTCCATGTCCCAAATGTGGTGCTCACAGATGCACCACTCCCTGCAAATCCCAGTACAGTTATTTGACTCTTCACCTGGCTACCTACCGTTCATTTCCTTCCTTCGGTATCAAACACAGCGGTTATCAAGGAAACTGCCCAGAGCATAACAATGAAGCCCTGTGGCTCTAACGTGGCACTTGGCCTAAGGAAGAATAAAATTACCTCCAACCCTTCTTCTTAATAATATTTCCCAACACAACTTCAGCCCTGCAACGAGAGAGAAACACAAATGATGAGTTCATCAGTCTGGTATAGAAATTAGGTACAAACCATTTCAATCATGAAAATCGGCTCTCGACGGAGGGATCCCATGTATTTCAAATCCCGGGAGTTAAAACGTTATTAAGGAGCTAAGGAGAACAAGACAATTTGAGGCTAAAGAGGCTACCCTAGGCCCCACCCACTCCAGTGGCTATTAACGGGCTCTCTGAACAAGGAGGAATCCTGCATGTTGTTTACACTGCAGTACAGGATCAAGTGACAGCTGGAATTTTCTTGGCATTTGTCAGGGTCAAAGATAAAAATATCCTGGCCACAGGCAATGTAATTTCCTCCTTCCTTTGCACTGTCCTGCAGTGCATAAAGAACTGTTCTCTGTAATTGCTTGTTATACATCTTAGCAACAGAGATGGGACAAGAACGCAATGTACCTTACATTTAATACCTCCATCTGCCAGAGCCGCGTCCCTTCACTAACTGATCCCAACCCTACTTCCCACAGGACTCATGGCAGGCACAGACCGTGAAGGCGGAATATGATGTCACCCATCTCCTCAGCCTCTTTTGTACTGACATCCGTGGCAAAGAGAGGGCGTGGCTGGACAAAACGTGGCAGGCGTTCAGGTTACCGGAGCTCAGCCCATTAGCCATACTGTGGCTCATTGCTGATAATTGCAGGACTTGGCTATTCAGACCTGTCACGACACAAACGACTCCCTACAAATAAGATCCATTCTGGCCTCTCTTCTTTAGAGTGAGAAAACAGGTCAGAGATATTCAGGTTGTTTGCTGGGGGATCTCCGGCTGGGGTGTGCTGGAGTGGAACCAAAGGAAGACCAAAGCCACAGGTAAGGGAGAGACATTCTTCCATCCTACGTAACGCCTCTCTGACCCAGCCCAGCGCAGAGACAGCTCTCCATTGCCATCCGTCAGGAGTCAATTCCATCGCCTTTGCTCAAGCCCGTTGCTCTTTGGCTTTGGCAGGTTGCTTTGCCCCTGTAGATGCTGCTACAGGACTGGCTCCACCAACATTTCTATTCTGAAATAAATACATGGCCTTGATCGTCACACTGGGATTAACTTGTGTGGCTTGTTCCGATGTGGCACTGCTGTGCCAGCTCTGGGTAGGCGCCCAAGTTCCAGTGTGGCGCAGAGGTGAGGACGCTACCAACTGAGCCACGCGAACATCTGTGCTTGGACTGTGTGGAGTGCCCAGACACACACTGGTAGAAACAGTCAATACGACTGAACTGACCTTCACTCCTGGCCAGATCAGGCATATTTTGTTCCTGGGCAATTTAATTTTTAACGGGCAATTATTAGTGAAACCCCTCAGACCCTACATTCTGCAGTCTCCATCCTTTCCAGTCAGAAAGTCACTCTCTTCGGGAGGAGACAGGAAAAACCGACCCTTAGTCATTAACTTAAACAAAGAGACGTGTGTGATGCTTTATCGGATTTGTTCTGTGTTGTGCAAGTGTCTAAAACCAAAGATGAGACGCTGAACAGGTCAGACTGCCAGGGCCTTCATTTCGTACAGTCAATAAAAGGTTCCACAACACAGATGAACACTTTCAGTAATCCCAATTAATTCACTGTCGCTAGGGTTTAATACACAGCACACGACATGTTGAGACTCTCTCATCAATGCTCCCAAGTACACGTAATCACCAAAAGATGTTCCCTAAGAGCTACAGAACCATGGTTCTCCATGTTTTCCATACTTGGACCTTCCTGCCTTCTAGCTAGGACACAACCTCCCACTTAGCAACATGGAAAGGGCAAGGCGGCCGTGACGCCCAGCATTTGTTCACGACCCTTCTGGAATGACTGAAATTTCTACCCACGAGTATCTTGTACCAGGCCTTCATTTTGTTGCCCGCCACATTCTCATCACTCGGCTCCTCACAGCGTATCCCTGGTTATTGCTTGGACGGTAACAGGAATAAGATCAGGCCAGACTGTGCTAGGTGCTGTAGGGACACACAGGCAGATGTGTCGCCACCCTGAAGAACTACGATATTTCACCTGAGCCCAGGCACAAATGGATGTAGAGAGAGGAGTGGAAAGGTTAACAAGGAGAAAGGCACTGGGCTGAGATGGCTTAGCAGCAGCACAGCACAGCGGATTCTAGTTGTCAGAAAAGTTCATAAGACAAAAAATAAGAACAGCTCTCCATATCTCCTGTCTTTTCCTAATGCAGCCCATTCACACATAAGTCTGAGGGAACTGGGATTATTTAGTCTGCAGAAGAGAAGAATGAGGGGGGATTTGATAGCTGCTTTCAACTACCTGAAGGGGGGTTCCAAAGAGGATGGATCTAGACTGTTCTCAGTAGTAGCAGATGACAGAACAAGGAGCAATGGTCTCAAGTTGCAGTGGGGAAGGTTTAAGTTGGATATTAGGAAAAACTTTTTCACTAGGAGGGTGGTGAAGCACTGGAATGGGTTACCTAGGGAGGTGGTGGAATCTCCTTCCTTAGATGTTTTTAAGGTCAGGCTTGACAAAGCCCTGGCTGGGATGATTTAGTTGGGGATTGGGCCTGCTTTGAGCAGGGGTTTGGACTAGATGACCTCCTGAGGTCCCTTCTAACCTGATGATTCTATGAAGTCACAAACATACAAACGTTCCATAGAACGTGCTGCCTTTCCCCATAAGGAAGCATTGCAAGTGAGTTAGTGTCACAAAGGGCTTTTAAAGTAGACGACGCTAGGATCTATATTTATAGGGAAACAAAAAATGTATAGGACTCCTTTGTGGTTACAGGGCGAGAAAAGGGCCGAGAGGGAGTGCCTACCTGTTCTGTAACACATAAGGATGGCCATACTGGGTTAGACCATAGGTCCATCTAGCCCAGTATCCTGTCTTCCGACAATGGCCAATGCCAGATGCTTCAGAGGGAATGAACAGAACAGGGAATCATCAAGTGATCCATCCCCCGTTGCCCGTTCCCAGCTTCTGGCAAACAGAAGCTAGGGACACCATCCCTGCCCCTCCTGGGTAATAGCATTGATGGACCGATCCTCTATGAATCATAGAATATCAGGGTTGGAAGGGACCTCAGGAGGTCATCTAGTCCAACCCCCTGCTCAAAGCAGGACCAATCCCCAACTAAATCATCCCAGCCAGGGCTTTGTCAAGACAGACTTTAAAAACCTCTAAGGAAGGAGATTCCACCACCTCCTAGGTAACCCATTCCAGTGTTTCACCACCCTGCTAGTGAAATAGTGTTTCCTAATATCCAACCTAGACCTCCCCCACTGCAACTTGAGACCATTACTCCTTGTTCTGTCATCTGGTACCACTGAGAACAGTCTAGATCCATCCTCTTTGGATCCCCTTTTCAGATAGTTGAAAGCAGCTATCAAATCCCCCCTCATTCTTCTCTTCTGGAGACTAAACAATCCCAGTTCCCTCAGCCTCTCCTCATAAGTCATGTGCTCCAGCCCCCTAATCATTTTTGTTGCCCTCTGCTGGACTCTTTCCAATTTTTTCACATCTTTCTTGTAGTGTGGGGCCCAAAACTGGACACAATACTCCAGATGAGGCCTCACCAGTGCCGAATAGAGGGGAATGATCACGTCCCTCGATCTGCTGGCAATGCCCCTACTTATACAGCCCAAAATGCTGTTAGCCTTCCTGGCAACAAGGGCACACTGTCGACTCATATCCAGCTTCTCGTCCTCTGTAACCCCTAGGTCCTTTTCTGCAGAACTGCTGCCTAGCCATTCGGTCCCCAGTCTGTAGCAGTGCATGGGATTCTTCCGTCCTAAGTGCAGGACA